CCATGTGACTTCACAGGTGATTCATCTTTTATTCATTAGTTTTATTCATCAGATTTTATATAAAGCTTTTTTAGAAGAGAATCAACTTCTGCAAACTTTATCTGACTTCCAATTTATTGAACATGTTTTTTTGCATTATGACATAAGAAATATAGGATCAAAAAATGCATTTATATTTGGGTTCAACATATTGGTTTTCCCCAAACAAACACTAAAACTTAGGAAACAGTTGTTTATATTCATAACACAAACAAATAAACAAATAAATACATACAAACACAAATATGAATGCATGTCTATTTGCCCCAACAACCATCTGAGGGTTAAAAAGCACCACTGTGGGTCTGTTTTTAATGAAACACTGTGAGACAAGTTGTTCATGTGATGAAGTTTTCTGTTTAATTTTTTTATTGTTTTTTTCTGATTACTTTGTTTGGTAATGACAAAATACTTCAAAAATAAAAATTACAGGTTGAAAATGTATCCTTAAAATACTCTGAACTTACATGATGAGAAATTCTAGGCAGGCGATATGATACAATCTCAGAGTTGCTATCATGTAAAATTGATCACTGTCTCTTTTAAATATCAAAAATTTGACGCATGATAGAATTATTGTATTTTATTAATAACAATCCAAAAAACTAAAGTGCCTGTTAGAGTTTAGAGACTGAAAATTTCAAAAATAATAAATGTAGAAAATGTAATATTTGCTTTAAATATCTGGATTTATTTTTGTTAAATTCGTCCCCATAACAAATCAGACAATTTTTTTTAATGTTTAAAATTTTACCAGTCAAATATATATAGATTGAAAGAAAGTTTTTACTCTTATTCTGTATAAAAATAAGCTTGCAGCTGCAGGGCCACAGGTGGTTTAATTTGACAGAGAAAGATGACTTCAGAATACAAATGTCACGTTTTGCATATTTTCATTTATTCAGGCGACTCTTATCTCTCCTCACCAGGGGCTTTATTGTAAACAGTGGAGACCAGGAGCCAAGTATTACATACAGGTAATTAGCAGAACAGCCCTGAAGGTGTATTAAAGTTTGAATGAGATTTAAAATCAGATTCTGTCTGTTTTCTCTTGTTATTCAGCAAAAGAAGGTCATGCTTTTCTTCTTTTTAATGATCTGTTATCAGAAGTGTCCGTTTGACTCCTGAACAACAGCTTCAGCGCTAATTAAAAATTTAATACAACTGTTTTATTAACGATGTGTAGACTGAAAAAATCTTGTTGAATGAAAATAAAATACAATGTACCTTGGATGTTTTGATCACTTGTTTCCTAAATCTGCTGATCAGAGAAAAGATCAGAAAAAAAAAACATTTTGTGTTTGTGCTTTCCATCAGAGTTGTTATGAACATATAAATAAATGGTTAATGGCTTTATTTACTTGTCATATTTTAATTTATTTACCTACAGTCTGAACACGTCCTTCATGAAGTAAACATCACAACCATTATAAAAACAACTTTCAGCAGTTAGGTGATTGTTTTCATTTAAAGTCCCAAATGTAATGTTTTTAGTGTCAGTAAGATTTGTTTAAACAGTTTACATTTAAAGTATGGTGAGCAGCAGCAGCTGGCTGTAGCAGTTCCACTGCAGTCCAAGGCACTCATTTCTGCTAAAAGACTCATATAACACAAAGTTGACAGCAAAACAACATGAAGCTAATGGCCAAAGCATGACTTTGGTCTCAGCGTTGCCACCAGTTCGTCAGAATTTAACTTGATTTCTGCAAACGGAGGACATCTAAACAAATATCACTTAAGATATTATTTGTTTCTTAAGTTTTCCACAGAAAGCCAAATCAAAAATCTGAACTTTCTCCACCAGTTTTGGGACAAATATTTAATC